TACCATTTGAATTTTTAGTTCTGTTGTAGACCTGATCTTAAGACTAAAGGAGTTACTGCCCTTAACGCAAGCTATTGACTGGGATAATTTTGCTATAGTCTTGTTACTTGTTGTCAAATCGCAAATTAAAATTGTAGAGGCAGTTTATTTCTTTTCTAGAAGTCAAAATACACGGTTGTATTTAAAGCTTATGATCAGGAAAGTTATAGATGTACTCAAACAACGAATCACTCGTCTTTGGTTAACACAATTTACATGGGACAAATCATACTTCAAAGAATTTAAAGTATCCGTTTTTTCACAGGCATTGCTATCAGAAGTGCTAACTGTTCTGAATTAGTTGTTTATTTTATTTAGACATTACTATACCAATGAACCACTCCGGTGGCCTAAGTAGTTAAAACGTTCACCTCGGATGCAGGAGGTTGTGGGTTCGAACCATGGTAGATCAAATACTAATTAAAAAAAGGCACTCAAAGCTGCCTTGCTAGGCGTTCAGCATTAAAAGGTTAGTGTTAGGACTGTTCGGCCGGGTGTCAGGATAATGTGACTGGATGTAACATCGAGGTACATGATGCCCCTAGTGCTAGACATCACTATAAACTGCCATACTGCAGATATAATATCGATATGAGTGAAATTTTGTTTAAAGTAAAGTTAAACATCCAAATCACACACACACACACACACACACACACACACACACACACACACACACACACACACACACACACACACACACACAAACACACACACACACACAGAGGATAACCGGTCTGAATTTGACAGCATTGTTAAGGCATTGACATGACAATAGGTAACCGGTCTAAATTTGATGTCTGTCTTGTTAAGGTAATCATAGTACAAGGTCTGAAATCGACGTCTCTCTTTTATGTGTTTATGTGCTATCATGTTAACACCACGGAAGAATCACAATTCTTAATTCAAATGCTTTTACTTCAAGATAATTCCGTGAAAGTAGAATATCAATGAAATCCTTGAAAGTTTCACAAAATCAGACAAATTTAATTAAATATGCAAGTCCTTGAACAAATTCACATAATCCAACGAGTGCTAACTGTTTAAATTAACGATAGTCCATTCTGCTAAATCGAACGAGCAAATATTATAAATAAATCACTATTTCCTCTCAACGTTTCTTACAGAATTGAGTATATATGCAGATTGCGTGTATTCTCATAATGTAATCTCAATATATGCATCAAATAAACATAAACTGATTCACTAAACAATTCTGGAACAATTAAATCATATTATTTTGAAATGAGTCTAAACAGTCATGTTATGACCTTTTCAAACTATTGAACTAATCAACAACTACGGCGGTTTTTTTTTCTTGTTTTTTTTTTCTTGTTTTTTTTTTTTTAGCTCTACAGGGCAGATTCACTCTCAGTTGCTTTTAATGTTTCGTGACAGTCATTTGAATTAAAGAGTGAAGTACTTAACTAACACAGATGTTTACTTGATATATCATCGTTCTGGTTTTGCTTATGAAAGAAATTCCTACAACGTAGTGTACGTGAATTTTATTATAGTGATATCCAGCCACTGATTTTAAGGAGTTATTATTTAACCGTCATAAACCTAAACAGTTTATAATAAAAATATATAATAAATTAATTAGATGATACAGATATCCGTAAGAAAGGTTTGACTTAAGTTCCAAATTGTGTGTGTGTGTCCGTCTGTTTTCTGACTTTCTATTTCCTAATTTGATTCACAATCTGACAAAATCCTCATCGGTGCATGCGCATTGCAAACGCATATTCGAAGCTAACTGCACACAATGTGGCACTTTAAGACCTAGATGCAGCACAAGACAGAACGAAACTTGACCGACGTTTATAATTTGTTGCTTATTTATCGAAAGTAGGCACATAAGTAAATTTTTTATTGTAAACTGTAGTTGTAAAATTCTCCAGGTGAAGTAAAAAAATGCAACAGGTAACACATAAATCAACCATTTGGACTGTTGATGATCACTTTCGGCTTTCCAGCGTTAAATGTTTTATTATATCTGCAATTTTGTATGGAAAGGTTGCCAGGCCAATAATCTATCTTATCGATGTAAAGTTATGTCGATTCTTTTGTCAGTCGATGTGATTTTGTTTACATAAACATTCAGGCACATCACAAAGGAAATAAATGATTCTATTTGAAAAGTCTTAAATTTCTTATTTTTAAAAGCTTCGCTGACAACCCAGTCATACCTTTTGTGCTCGTGTGATCGATAAGAACAAGTATCTTCCATCATAGTGAAAGTACCGATTCTTAATCTCTCTCCTTACCCCCCCCCCGTCCATCTCGGACATAAAAGCAGAAGATAACATACTACATAGTGACACTTTAAACAAGCTTTCAGTACCTCTTTAACTGAAATAGTTGTGACTAATGCAGTGAAAAGAATTGTTATAAATTCTAAATCTTCAGATGTTAGATGCATTAAAGCTGGAGTCCCGCAGGGATCCATTTTGAGACCACTATTATTTATAACTTTCATCATTGATATTGCGGAGAGTATTGTTATTATAGGGTTTAACTCCAATTTTCAGCACAAGATAGGCTATACATGGCGACCAGCAGAAATGGTGAATGAAGAACCCGATAGACCCCTGGAAAGAACCACCAACCCACGAGAATCTACTGGCAAGCTTTCCCGGAGGAGAACAAAGAATGATAAATCAGATAATTTGCTGACAATACATCATTATCTATAATAGATGATAACCAGATGACTGCTGGTGAAATCTTAAACACTGATATTCAAAAGATACTTGAATAGTCCAGAATTCTGGTTGGTATTATTTAATCATGACAGACTGAATCAACTCTGTTAACACGTTTCTCAGCAAAAACATCTGAACATCATATCCAGTGATACCACCTGGCACGTGCATAATAAATACATTTACGAAAAAGCATGAGAGAAATTAAATTGTTTAAAACGTCTCATATTCAATCTATATCGACCATCTTTGAAACAAAATGTACAAATCTTATATTCTTCCAAAATTTGAATCTTCTGATCACATATGGGACAATTGTACAATGAATGTTAAAAAACACCCGGAAAAAAAATGTTAAGGTAATGAGAAAAGTAATGGTCGCAAGCAAAACGTGCATCTCCTTCACAATTATACATGAAACTAGCTCTGAAATCCTAAACTCTCGTCGTTACAAACAGAAACCGGTTCAGTTATTTAAAATTTGCCACAAACTAGGTCCTGCGTATCAACCAGACTTGATTCGACCATTCGATCTTCAAACTATCTTCGTCCACAAAGTCCAAAGTCTTGTTTAGTTTTCTAGAGAATAAATTTTTAAATTCCAAAAACAATTCAACTTCAAAAACATCTTGTACATTCAAGGTGTGGACATACGACTGACTAAATCTGAGAGAGAGAGAGAGAGAGAGAGAGAGAGAGAGAGAGAGAGAGAGAGAGAGAGAGAGAGAGAGAGAGAGAGAGAGAGAGAGAGAGAGAGAGAGAGAGCCTGTTTAAGGCCATGATTTTAGATCACATGGTGCTTCATGTGATAGGCTACGTGATATACCAATTTCAAAAAGCGCAATAAAAATATCACATGTATTACCAATGCAAGAATAGCCTTATCTAAGAAGCAGACACTCACACTGAAATAAATTTAAAAATGAAACATTGCCTATTGAAACTAACACGTAGGCCGAAATGACCTTGGCAATAGCCAATCGTTTTCGCTTAGTGTTTACAAAATCTATGAACAAAAGTGAGCTAACAATAATGATAATGAAATACGTTTGAATAACATACAATGCAATAAAATGTAATGAAACCTAAATAAAATAAAAAAGAATTTTAAAATAAACACACATTGAATTTAATTACATACACGTCACACTCCTCACATAAAATATAACGATTTATATAATAAAACTTTCCTTTTAATAGATTTACATTATTCATAAGATAAAACAAAATTACATCAGAAAAAAAGTCTTATAAATTATATAATGTATGCGTGAAATAATATTTATATACAACGGAAAGTGCATCTGCAATCAAAATATATTTTTCTTTTATGTGCATGATGTCAAGACTATTTTCTTGCAATAACAAACTCCACCTTAATAATCTTTGATTTTTATTTTCATCTTGTCGATAAAAGTAAAGTGGTTGTGATCACTGAACACAACAACCGGATAAAGAGCTGAGCTAATCTAGCTTCAAAATGCTGCAAAACTAATATTAAAGCTAAACAGTCCTTCTCGATTGTTGAGTAATTTCTTTGGTGCTTATTTAATTTCTTAGAGAAATAGCACACTGGTGATCAACATCATTTCTATCTTCTTGAATCAATATTGTTGCAACCCTGACATCATTTGCATCCATAGATAATTTCAAATTTGGAGCTGTGAGAACCAGAGCACCTTTGAGTATAAGTTTAATCTATCAAAAGTTTCTTGACATTATTCAGTCAAATGAAACTTTTTTTTTCTTGCTTAACAAGTTTATCAGGGGTTCAGCAATATTAGAAAAATTGGAACAAAACTTTCGATAGTATCCGGCCATATCTAAAAATTGCATCATTTGCTTTTTAGTGACAGGCTCAGGGAACTGAGAGATAGACTTAACCTTAGCGTATAGTTTTAACCTATCCGTGTCCCACAATATGTCCTAGAAAGGTTACACAAGCACAACATAACTCATTATTAAATAAACTGATTGTCAAATCTGCATCAGTGAGTCTCTCAAGAATCTCTGAATCGTGGCTAGATGTATATTCCAGGTGTTGTTATAGACGATGACACCATCAATATAAGCATCACAATTATCTAGACTAGAGATAATCATATTCATCAAGCGTTGAAAAGTACTTGAGGAACTATTCATTCCGAACGGCATTACTTTATATTAATAGAGTCCATCTGTAATAATAAATGCCAACATTTATTTTGCTCTTTTCTTTAGTGGATTTTCCAAAATTCTTTCAGTAGGTTAACCGCTCCGGTGGCCTAGTGGCTAGAACGTCCGCCTCACATGCTGGAGGTCGTGGGTTCAATCCTCAGTTGAGTCAAACCAAAGACTTGCAAAAATGGTATGAACAGCTGCATCGCTTGACGCTCAGAATTAAGAGGTTAGATTTAGGACTGGTCGGCCTGGTGTCAGGATAATGTAACTGGGTGGGACATCCTGCTACATGTCTGCAGCATGATGTCCCAGTGCTAGACATGACTACAAAATGCCCCATCGCAGACATCGTAGCGTTGTGAATTGAAAAAATGTTAAAACTACGTTAAAAATCAAAATCACATCACATCACTTCGCAAGGTCACATTTCGTGACGTACTTGGCATTTCCAATTGTATCAATAGTCATCGATTCCTGGCAAAGGATATGAATCTGTGTTTATCACTCTTCAGCTTCCTATAATTAGTACATATGCAGAAAGTTTTGTCCGGAACAAGTATACATAGTGAACTCCAATCACTGAGCTCTATGAAATCGTTCTCCAGCAAATAGTAAATTTTGTTTTTCAAGTATTCCCATTTGAGAGGGTTAGTCCTATTTCACATGTTTTGAATCTACAATTTCGACTTTATGGAAAATGTTTGTCCTCGTAGGAATATCCGGAAACAAGTGATCATATTCGAATGCTGACCTTTTAAGCTCATTCCGTTTTTGTTGTTAAATGTTTCTGGTCCAGATTTTTGATAATTTCCGAATTCCGAAGTTTTGTTGTTTGAAGATAACAGTGTCTGATAGAATTTCTTCACTTAAAGCCTCAGTTTGTGGGACAGATACAACAAAATTAATTGCATGATTTACTTGGTTATCTCTTTCAATGTACGGGTACTACATTATTTATTTAGACTAGAGTACTGTTATTATAATTTAACTCATTCATTTTCGTCTTTACTTCGTAAGCGCCATAAAATCTAATTTGAAAAAGAAAATGTGAAAAATAAGCTAGATAGAATAAACTCTTTTACAAGACTCCAAACTTCTCTCAATTAAAGTTCTGTGACACCATAATTACCCTTTTGACTTGAATTGCTGAGTACCAAATTCAAGCATAACAAGCTGGAATAGTCAAGACAAATCATTTGACCTTTGACCCGATTGAACAGATTTAGGAAGGCCAAATTAAGTAAAACGCTTGGACAAAGCTTTTACTATGATTTTCGTTTTAATATTCCTCAAAAGAATTGCCTCTGGGAATCTTGTTTGAATCATATATAATGGTCAACAAATACTAGCTGCCTGACTTGTTCTTAAGTAAGGTACCAACACAATCTACACTAATTCTGCTAAATGGTCCGTCAAATGCAGGACTATGTTGCAGATGAGAATTAGGTATCTTCTGATTGGGTTTCTTACCATCTGTTATCGTTTCAAACAAACTTTACTCAGACGTTAGCTGTATGCAGGGCAACAATAGCTACTCATTACTTCGGTATGCAGGTCATTATATGCTCAAAAATTCGGTGTCGAGCAATCGCTCCGACACATTGACTATTTTACATATATAATGAACAACACAACAACATCGATTGATGTTTCCTAACCAAAAAGGAAGCAGATTTTCTGACTAGTTTGAAGGCATTAGAGCAGTTTCTATGGCGTTATCGCCATGACACTTTCATATTATTTAATATGAAAAACGTGAGAGAAAAACCCGAATAACAATACGTCTAGAGATCATTAAACAAGAAACAAAACTTGGATATTTCTCTTAAAGGCAGACGGTACAAAATCTATATATCTTTTTACCGTCATGCGAATAATTTCAACTTACAAGTAGTTCTTGTGAGATTAAACTGTTCCCACAGAAAGCACACTGACTGGTTCTGAATAGTTTGTTATGAATATAACAGCAAATATGCCTAAATCTTTTATGAAACGGTTTTCGAGGAGTTTGTTTTAAAATTCCAATATATAAATACTACGTCTTAAGTCCTATTCCAGGAAGTAGAACTCTGTGAGAAAATTACCATCTGAAGGGTTGTATCAACACTGGCCTCTTGATCTGCCTGTACTTTTTGTGCGATATGGCATTCTAAATAATGTATAAACGAGGGCCCGTCGACATTCGCCTTTTTGTATGATATAAATGACAGGGTTCGAAACAGTAGAGCACTTCGCGAAAATGCTCGACAATATTGTTCCAAGAGTAGATATTGATTTTGGATTTTCAAATACTGACACGATAGAGACAATGGTGTATGGGGTCCAAGAGAGAAGGAAGGAACCTGAAAATGGAGAAACTATTCTTATGTATCCATACTGAAACCAGAACTTTCTTTCTATTCAATAATTGTACATTTTTTCCTACTAAGTCCTATTTAGTTTGGAGATACAAAATAAAAAAAATATAAGTAATATATTCCTTTTGGATGCACAACTATCATTTATGCTTCAAAATCCTCTATCCATTTATTGATCCACATTACCGTCTAACACACTTTATGCCAGTCTCGTCTGTGATATATTTTCCTGTAATATACGATGTTTGAGAAATATTATTAACGACTCTTTCCTTCAAATATAAATTTAAAAGTGGGAAAAATGTTTGATGTTTGGGATCTAAGATTACAAATCTTTCTCATATGTTTTATATCAAGTTTTGTAATTTAATTCCGCAGTTTTCATTGAATCCATGTAAAATGATATCATTGGGAAGCCATTTCTCTGGTACTAAAGAAAACTGGTGCTTAAAACATTCAGAAAGAAGCCTAATCAGTCGATATCAGCCCGCATATTTTATGTAATAAACTTAATGAATCGCCATCAGCCCGCACAGTTTATGTAACAAGCTACTGTTCTTGACAGAAATTCATAATATCCTATATCACCTGAATACATATAATAATATATTTGTATATAATCAAATAATATATATGTATATAATGCAATACTATATTTGGATATAATTTGCAATTCTGTAACATAATGAGTGCATTACTACTCGCATTTGATCCTTGGGCATGTTTGTAACACTGACAATGTCAAAAGTATGCACACAATACAGTAAGCTTCTAATAATATTAGTGATACAAGCATTTCTATAAGATTCACAAGAATTTGTACTACATTTATGGTAGTTTTGTAGTATGACAATGAATTTTAATTGCCCGTCTTGTTTAAAGGTATCGATAATATTTCGCAACAGTAGAGCGTATTGTGAAGCATCAGGTTTCTTTTGCCTGCATTCATCAAAAGCATATGTTGTTAGAAGATAGACTGTCAAAAAATAAACCTTTACAGATATGTTATCTGGCGAACTTGGCTGTTTCACTTTATTTATCAAAACAAAAAGTTGCATGATAAACTATCGGGCTAAAGTGGTTAGTTGTTACGAAGAAAAAGTGTCTTATCGTACATATTCTTTCTCATACAAACACGTTGATTATAATTTGTATGACAATAAATGATTACTTTAAGTAAAATCTATATTAAATAATGTTAAGTTTTGAGAAATCAAAGTTTTGCATCAGTTTAATAGTTTACAAACTCGTTAGACAACAACTAAAACATCAACACATACAAGTTTGAGCTGTTTTATAATCAATATATTACCTGAAGGTCGAAATTACAGGCTATTTCAAACTTGTTTAGATTTAGAAACGATATATTTCTTATTACCAACAAATATATCTAAAAAAATGATTAAGTTTAGAACTGCAAATCGTAGGCTTTCCATCAAAACTGGTAGATTGACTAATGTTCCTAGTAATGAAAGATACTCTGCACTTTGACAGTCCCAAGAAATAAGGTACGATATCATCACCTTTAATCTTGTTCTTATTTTCACAATGAAAAGCGAAATTTTATATATCACGTTTACACTTCAATGGCAAATGTTTGTTAATATAATTACTTAGTTCATATAAATAAAGTACGACTCTTAAAACATAGTTGCACAATTTTAGAATGTGTTTACCAAATATTGAAACTCTGTGAAGTATTATGTAATATCATTGCACACAACATATTAAAAATAAATTGTTCAGATTTGAACACTATCCCCATTGATGGAGACTAAGGGAGCATACAATGGGTTGATTATGATATATAAGCACTTTTTTAGTACTGGTCAGAGTGTGAACCAATACCTTTCACTCAAATACACATGTAATGGCGTTTATGGTACATAGTGAAACATTCGATGTTAAACTTCCAATTTTTCTATTTTTAGGTAAATTCTCTCCACCATTTTCAACCAATGTACAATGTACCACGCTGTTAGCATTGCATACTACGGGAGGCAACTCGTGAAATACATATTAGACATCGCTAGGACAAAGCACCAATATTTGTTCGATCTGCCAAGGTACACATAGGGCTGTTATTATATCGGAGCGAATATATATATATATAACAGACCGAGGATCCAGACGCATTTAGTCGAGAAAATTAACAGCTGACAATGCCGTCCTGACGAAAAAAAAAATCCGCATAAGAAAAGCTACCAAAATGCATTTTCCAGCCATCAGTTTGCTTTTGAGACCCATTATCTCAGCTTTCACTTTGCTACGTAAGCCATATATATGAATTATGAAAATGTATAATGATCTGATATTGTTCTTTCAGTCAGAACATAATTTGTTACACGTCTTTACAGGAAAATCCTTACTAGCTTGAAGTAACCGAACATTTGGCAAAATAATATCTCCAGGATGAATCTTTTAATAAGACAGTTTTCTACATCCTGGTTTAGGTCACTAAATACATGCATTTGTTCTAATCACGTTATTTTTTTTTACGAAAGTTGACTAATGACGTATCGTATAATATTTTCTGCATAATTTATTCTTTTGCATCGTCTTTGTAAATATTCACAATCAAATTCCACTAAAATTTTGTGAAGTAATTACGTTTTCTTTATTTGTGTAATCTTTTCTTTTCTGTCCTCGTCTCGTTAGTGTCATGGTTGTGTGTTGCTTTGTACCTTTTAGAAAGGGTTCTGGAGTTCTTGAAAGTACCTGGATATTTAACACCATTGTAGTACTGTTGTTCGTCAATTCTTGCTTGTTATATATATATATATATATATATATATATATATATATATAT